GTGTGTGTGTGTGTGTGTGTGATTTACATTGCTGTGCTTGAGAGCCACCATCTACCGGAACCAAATTCCCTGTATGTGTCTGCACATATACTTGGCCAATAAACACGATTCTGATTCTGATAACAAATGCTGGCACCATGAACATGCGGACTGATCCGAGAGGGAGGACGACGGTAGTGACGGGGCATTTTCAAAACACATCTTTTATCCTTCCGCACTGAGAAGCAAAACTTCCATCTTACTTAGTTTTTCTAAGTTAAGACAACTCAAATAAATTGAGTTTATCAGCGGTTTTGCCTAAAAAGTACTGGTAACTTATTTAAATCGAGTTCTAATAACAAATTTATAAAAACTGAGTTCAGCCTATTTAATATTTTTAATTAAACACAATATTACATTTTACAGTGTTTAAGCTGTCGTTGTTCTCAAACTATAGTAGATCTTAGTCTGTTTATTTGGGGGTTTTTTTATTTTCATATTCATAAATTATCACAAGTTGAAATTTTTAATAAGATTTTAGTCTTAAAAAATCACTGAAAACTATGGGTGCTTTAATATATTAAGTTTCCCTATAGGTTATTTTTTAAATTTTTTTATTTAACAACAAATGTACTGAAATAAACAGTTACAATAAGAAAACAATAAGGAGTGAATATATTGTATAACATTACTGCACAAAAGGAACACAGGGGGAGGCTAAAATAACAAGAAAAACCCTTGACAAATGCAACTTGCTATAAATGTTTTTTTGTTTTTGTTTTAAAAAAAAAACAACTGTAAAATGTACAACAAGTAATTAAACTCAGGACTTTTTTGTTGCCTAATATAGAAATGAACAGTTAATGAATACATATAAAGGAAGAAATTAGCTCAGCATACACATTATTGCTGTTTTGGTCATTTACAATATGAGTTAATTTTCGGAAACTTACGTAAAATTTATTTCATGAGTGTTCTTAAGACAATGAGAAAGCAATCTTCTCCATATTTTAGGGAACCCCAGTGATTGGTCTGCTTTCATCAGCTCACTGTGATGAGAATAACTGGGAAAAGAGTTCTGCTTTTAATCCAGCCCATTTCCTGGATGAGAAAGGCAATTTTAGAAGGAGAGAGGCCTTTATCCCATTCTCTCTAGGTAAGTGTGTGGGTTCTTAACACAAAGAAATATAAGACTAAGACATAAAATCTAAGACAAACATTAAGATGGCTTAACAGTTTGCGATTCCCTGATTTCTTGCAGGGTCGAGGGTTTGTGCTGGAGAGAGTCTGGCCAAGATGGAGGTTTTCCTTTTCTTCGCTTCCCTCCTCCAGCGCTTTCGATTCACTCCTCCACCTGGAATGACTGGAGATGACCTGGATCTGACACCAGTTGTAGGGTTCACCCTCACCCCTTTACCTCATAAGCTCTGTGCCATCAGCAGATTTTAAAGATTAAAAGTGTAGAACACACAAGTGCTATTTTTCTTTAACCATTTTGGTTACACAAAAACGCAAACAACAAGCTGTAGGAGTTTGATCTGCTTGTTCTTATTAAAGGTATTGTTGTCATTGTTAAAACCAAGTTTGCTGTTTTTAAACACACCTATCATAAATCCCCTGAGTGAAGTTTTTAGAATTTGGCTACAAACACCATGGAATCAGGGATGAATTAATTAGATTTTGGTGGTCTAAAGCCACTGTAACCTCATGAAACATTTTTGGCAATAAATCAAGAATTCAATAAAGAAGCAAGGATATTTTTATTATCCCTAAAGGACAATTTGTTGTTCAGACAGCAGAAATCACACAACCATCAAGCAAAATGCAATAAATGTACAAAAAAAGCAGGAGTAAGAACACAGGCTGGTATTCAATGTGTTTGTCCTGTATAATGTTTGCAGTTAGATGGAAGCAACGTAAAACTGTCCTAACTTCAGAGTCCTAATCTTATGTGTACAGCTCAGAAAGGTCATTCAGGGTCAAATGGAAGCATATGTACAATATTTGGTTAATTTGACACATTTTACTGCATCTATTTCTACTTTCATTTAATTTTTCTCTCTTAGCTTTTCAGGTTGACCTTTTGATTTTTGTTTCCTCATGTGTATCAATCAATTTTTACACACCGAACTCTGATCAACAAGGTACATGAGCGCACGGTGAAGATAGTGGAGGGGCCCATATTTGCATTGGCCCAGTAGGTAAATGCCACAGCCCTAGATTCAGTGACCCTGTACTAGCTGATCAAAGAGATTATAATGCCACTCCCCTCAGCTGAGTTGTAATGGTGGCTATTTGTATCCCTCTGTTGGTCTAGAGATGTACAGTTATGGTCAGAAATGTACTCATCATGGGGATGAATGTCATGGTAAATTTCGGGTTTTAAGGATTTCTTTAAACTTTCCGTTTATACATTATTATAAATTATTGTCTATTTTCTCTAATGCACACAGGGTCAAATATATGCATATAACCCAACTAATATTTAGTTAAATATTCCTCAGGAAGCTCTATTTCGACCAGATGGTCACCATCAGCAGAATTCTGGCATAAATGTGGCTGGTTATTTGACCACTCTTCTTTGGTAGAAGTAACTTTAAATGATTAAATTGGTTAAATTGCTCAATCTTTTTCTCCTCATCTAATTCAGGGTTACAGGGGCTGGAGCCTATTCTAGATGCCATAGGGCGAGAGGCAGGGTATGCCCTGTGCAGGTTACCAGTCTGTCGCAGGACCGACACAGAGAGACAGATTTACACTCACATTCACACCTACGGTCTTGACGAGCTGGCAGATTAGAACCCAGGGCCTCACTTCATTGTGGATGGTGACGCTGGCGTTCCAGCAGTTTCCACTTAATGGCAGACTTGAGCCATTGTAGTTTCTGAACATCCTAACCAATTTCCTCTCATGTGGAGGGGGACAGTTTGAGTATTCTTTCACTCTGGCAAAGTGGTTACACATCTGAATAACTTACAATTATTTAAACTTATTTAAACTATTTAATCTGCATCTATCCATCTATCTGCTACACAAAGAAACTGCCAGTTGTAGTGAAACATGATCACTAGCAAGAAGTTAATAGGAGCTGGCCTTGTCAAGTTAAAAGACATTTGGTCCTGTGTGGATTAGAGAAAGTCCAAGATAAATTCAAACGGCAACCAATTCTTGTTTTTTTTTAAGTCATTAAAGATGTATGCATTACAATCATTCCACCCTGGAAAAAAAAACACACTTAAAAGAAATAATTAAAAGCCCAATTATTACCCATTTATGCCCACAACAGTATACAGCTAAAAGGCTAAAAGCACCAGATTTTTTTTTCTGTATAACAAAAACAATGTTTTACAGAAAGAAGCATTACCATTACTTGTCTTTTAGCATAACAATGAAAGTGTTGTCCTCTTCCTTTATATTCAAAATAAGGCAAACACCCAAAACTCGTCACCAATCTAGATGGATAAATACAAATACCACAGAAAAAAAATATACACACACGTGATTTTGTCCTGAATCGCCCCTTTTAAGAATCACGTTTTCCTTTTTGTTTTTTATTTAAGCATTCTCAGTTTTATATGAGAATGGCTTGTCATCTCTAAAATAGTGAAATGGAAGCATGCTTTGGATCATAATAAGGTCCTTGTGTTTTATAATCAGTTTGCGCAGATGTATGAAAATTAACAGTTGATAATGCCAGTAATGGAGATATAAGATAAACATGTCATTTAAAATGTCTGAATTATTTGTTGCCTGTAGCAAATACAAATTATAATATTTACTAAAAGATTGTAGTATCATATTGCGGATTGTACCCTCTCCCTTTGGGAAAAAAAAAAAAAACTTGCTACATTGTTTATTGTTATATTTGAAAACATGTTCATAATGCTACAGTCACTCTAAAAAAAAGTACATCAAAGCCCTTGTGGTCCTCAAACAGTGTGTGGAATCTAAAGCCATCTATGGTCCTTCCACTTTGATAATATTGATCTGCTGGTCCTGTGAAGAGTGGTCCGAGTTCAGCACTGGTTGAGTGGAAACGCTGCAGTCCTGGAAAGTCCTTGTTGAGCAGCTGCTTTGGAATTCCGATGTTTTACTCTCCAATGCTCTGAAAGTCTGAGGATGTGACTGTATGCTGTATGTGGAGACATATGATTGCGTGTAGGGAGGCATGAGTGGTTGACTGGTCTGCTGAATATATGCAGCTGAATAAGGTTGTGTTTGAGAAGGGGTGTGAGTAAGAGGAAGGCTTTCAGTATTGCTACATGGTGGAAACCCATTCACGGTTGTAGGACTGAGTCCCGGCAATTTAAAGGCCTCCACATTTTCTAAACCTTCTAAAGAGCTGTAGCTAGGCTGGGTTTGGCTACACTGAGTGTAAGTGCCTTGACTAAAACTGAAGGTGTCTTGGTTAAACGAGGTAGAGGCAGAAGCTGCTGCCAAAGCAGAGGGTGAAGGAGTCTTGTTTTTCTGCTTTTGAACACTGCTACCATGACCCATTTTGGTTGCAATGGTCTGTAGAGTGTTGAGGATCTGCTTCTGAATTTGGGTCTGCTGCGACTGCTCCCTCTCCAGACGGCACTGCTGCTCTACAAGCATCTTCACTGCCAGGCCCAAGCTGCGCACTTCAGAGCCCAAACTCTGAATCTGATCCTGGAAACCGCTTCTGACTCCAGCGTCCTGGGCTGCCTGCTGTGGACTCGGGTTCCCTTCAGTACGAGGAGCACCCTGACTCCCAGGGGCCTGTATGCGGATAACAGCGCCCCCGGGAGACGCAGATGTTAAAGGTGCTTGTGGTCGGTTAGAAAGACGAATCCCAACTCGAGGAGGAGGATGAGGGGGAGGAGGAAGGGAACGAACAGATAGCCCTGGTCTCTGGGTGAGAGAACGTCTAGGAGCGCTGCTACTTCCAGGCTGATTCCCTGTAACAGTCTGTGTAACATTGAAAACATTTCATTTAAAATGGTGTTCACATTGCAGACATACTAACAAAAACCTCAACAACAGATGATGTTTGTATGGCCAGGCTCCCAGACTCAGATCAGAAAATAACAATTTTTTTTTTGGGTCAAGCAAAAAATTTACCAAATACAAAAGACAGAAATGTTTTAAGAGAAATAAAAGTGGCGATAAAGAGTCTAAAGACCCGACCATATCACTCCCATGAGGTGGCAGCTAAAATTGTGTAAGAAGAAATAAAGCCTATGATTTAACAGGTACTCTCTGATGGTGATAAACTCACGTCTTTGTTTAGTAAAAGGGATTCAAAAGCTAAGTGTTAGCTAAAGCTAAATGTATCTCACCTTTTCAGTGGTCAGATCGTAGGTTTCAGGTGGCTGTGGCACAGCATTCCTCATGTCAGTGCCCTGGACACTTGATGGATCTCTCCTTAACAATGATGCCACTGTTGAAAACTGGTGAAAAACAACGTATGAAAGACTGAATAATATTTGGAGGCTAGTTTATGGTAAATTACACAGATTCCATGCACCTGAAGAGTAAATATAAGAGGTACAACTGGGATTATGACACTAAGTACACATCAGTACACTAATGCTTAGGTACCTTCAATCTGTGTGACAATGCTTTATCCAAAATTCTCTTTCGAGCTGCCAGCATTGAACTAGTGGCTGGAGAAGGTGTGACTCTCCGCCTCACTGCTGGTGTGGAAGTCATAGCACAGGTTTCTGACCTTGGTAGAGTGGACTGGGGAGCTCTTTGTTGGCTCTGCTGTGCAAGTGACGTGACACTGACAATCTGGATATCATTTTCATCCTTATGTTCTTCAGGTTGCTGTTCTTTCCTGTTGCCTCCACTGGTTTCCCCGGAGGAAGAGCCCTCTGAGCTGGTGGGAGTCTGTTTAGCAAAGTCAGCAGCAGCTGGGAAGCCAAGACGTTGAGATGAATCCCGTAATAGGTTTCGGATTTGAATGTTACTCCAGCTCTGCTGTACTGCTCCAGTTTGAGCTTGCACCTGTGCTGGTGATGTGCTACTTCCAGGCTCTACAGGTCTCACCCTCCCTGGCGGCCTCCCCTGGAACTCTCTCAGGAACAAGTAGATGGCCTGAGCGGAAACCTTAATGTTCTCCAGCTCCAGCACAGCTTTGATTTTACGGAAACTCAGGCCAGCCTTTCGCAGCTCTACCACTTTGTGCTTTGCAGCATCATCGAGCCGGCCCATGGTGAATTCACCTGTTCTGACCTGTCATAAAAAAGTGAAATTTAGAGTATCTTTAATAATATTATTATTATTAATAATAATATGTATAATAATATAGGAAAGTGGGATCTCTGTAACAATGTTAGAGGTGTAGGGTAATAGCAGCCTTGGCAATAGCTTTGAAATTAAAAAACTAAAAATCCACATATTGTGAAAAAGTATTTGCCTCCTTTCTAATTTCTTACAATCAGGAAGGGGGCAAATACTTTGTCATAACACTCTTCATAGCACAAATGTAATACACATATGATAATATAGTAAATTGTAATTATCCTCTTTGGAGCTAAAAGTGGCCACCCAAACATGTGAGATATCAATGGAAAGCCCAGGATGTCCTCAGTTTAATACATTAGGACTTAGTAGGGTAACTCAAATAAGTCAAAAGACTTGTCATTATGAATTCTTCCTGCTAATATAAAAGAGATCATCATGTCAAGCTAAACTACAAAATCAGGAAACTTCTTTGGAAATGTGGCTGTCATAACAAAAAGATCAATTTACTGGCTAAACGGAGGAAACTGAAAACACTGCCAATATCTTACATTATCATATAAATATGAAATACAACCAACTATAAATCCAGCGCATAAGAAACCGGTTTTTTTTTATTTCTTCTTTTTGAAAGTTCTTCTAGGAACAAAGCTGTGTGCTTTTTAAATTTAATTAAAATTTTCTCAAGAAGAAAAACATATTATTGTAGGATTATTTTTTTCAAACAATGGCATTTTATTGCTGAGTGCGAAGGTAGTGTTGTACAGTAACTCCGTGTTAGCTGCGCGGGGTAACCACCTCAGCTAGCACAGTATCCTTAGAAAGTGATGCACTCACTTGATCTGGAAGAAGGAAGCTCGATCGATGTTTCCTGTTCGGTTATTTCATTTCACGCAGCTCGACGAAACAACAAGGTTATTCCACGAGTGCGCTGGGTCGCACACGCGCTCACTTACAAACTCACATTTTGTCGTCAAAAAATGTAAAATAAACAAATGAGTTGTAAGTGGCGCTCAGGTGGTCACGTAACTTCCGCTTATCGTCATCACCGTGCGACGTTTTCTCAGGCCGCAAGTGGTTGGACTGCGCCTAGCTCCTTTGGAAATCATGTAAGTTTAGCCTTTTATTTATCTTTAGTTGAGCTTTTTTTAAACCCGAAAACGTCGCATAATTTTCCGCATAAGCCTAAATACATTTTCTAATCGCAGTTGAAGTCGGTTTTGGGTGAAACAGCAGCTCGTGCGTCGCTTTCTTCTTGTTTGAATGAAATTCAATGGCGGCGCGTTCGTGCTCAAGATGTTAGATGTGAAGTCAACTAGTTTACTTTAATGATTATTTTCCCTTGATAAACAATGTTATTATGGGAGGTTTACTATAAAAATCTAATAAGAAGACAAATAATTCTAAAACTATTTAAATAATGTCTATTAATTTCTGTTTGTTAATACAAGGCAAGAGGCTTTGTTCTACATATATATTGGAGATTTTTTCCCCCCCACAAAATTTTGCTTACATCATAATAATGTAATCTGCACGTGACAAATACCTGCCAGATTATAAAAACGTAGAGGAAGTGATGGTGGATGAGTTTAAAATCCCGGGGTCAACAAAATTAGACAGGAAAAGAGTAAGACCATAAAGAATGTTCATAGATGTATTGAAGGAGAACATGTAGACGGTAAGAGAATGAAGAAAGCTCAAATTAAATTAATAGGTATATTAAACATGCAGACATACCCAGGAAACCTAAACTAAATTAAACGGAAAACGAAAATAAAAACTGAAGAAAACTGTAGTAGCAAAACATAATGAAAAATACAGAACCTGAATGACTCTGATGGTAGTAATATAACATTAACCTGCATTAACCTGAAAACATTCAAGAAAAGAAGACATCCATAGACACCAAGCATTTAAAGGTTCCAATATCAGACCGCTTATTACTTAGATGTATAGGGAGAATTAAATTCCATACTTGTTAATGAAAACTAAATGGACACAGAAGTGGCCGCACAGAGGTGCAGTGGTTAGCACTGTTACTTCAAAGCAATAAATAAAGGGTGGCTGTAGCTCAGGTGGCAGAGCAGGTCAGCCACTAATCAGAAGGTGGTTCGATCCCAGGCTTCCTCCTGCCAAATATCCTTGGGCAAGATACTAACCCCATGTTTGAGTTTGCCTACTGGTGGTGGTCAGAGGGCCCGGTGGCGCCAGTGTCCGGCAGCCTCGCCTCTGTCAGTGTGCCCCAGGGCAGCTGTGGCTACAATGTAGCTTGCCATCACCAGTGTGTGAATGGTTAATGACTGAATGTAGTGTAAAGCGCTTTGGGGTCCTTAGTGACTGAGTAAAGCGCTATACAAATGCAGGCCATTTAAGATTTTACCATTTAAACTCCTGCCATTGAATGCGCTGGCTGGGGCCTTGCTGTGTGAAGTTAGCATGTTCTCTCCCCATGTCTGAGTGGGTTCCTCCCACAACCAAAAAACACAGGAAGGTGTTTTCTTGCATCCATGGCTAATGTTTCTTAATCGGCCATAGATGTGAATGTATGAATCGGTGTCTGTCTCTGCCCTGTGATAGGCTTTCTAGGTGTACCCTGCCTTTTGGCCTGTAACAGCTGGTATGGGCTCCAGCAGTTGGAGGCAAAAATTAAAGCTTGTAGAGAAAATGGGCGAATTAATACAAATTTAAACATATCAAAAGGATGTTCTAGTTGTAGATCAAGAGATTTGAGGCTGCTGCTCGTTACGAATTGTTCAAGTATTGTAAGTTTAGAAAAACTTGTATTATTTCCTCAGTACAGTTAATTGTTATTTTGTTCTGAAACAGTAACTACCTAACAGAAAACATATGACCTAAAATACAATTTATTTCCCGGATATGTTCCTGTTAAACAAAGACATAGCTGTTAACATAAAAACCTTTGTGTTTTAAAAAGCTTTTATCTTTAGAACCGTGAAATATGTTGAGCTCTATTTTCTGTCAACTTTTCAATTAAGCATTTAGTAAAAATATATTTATTTGCAGTGAAAATAATCTTAAAGTGGCGAACTTTGTGCTATTCTTAACGTAAACATATCAAAATAACAGTGGCTTTCCTCTCATCTAAGGGCACCCTCACCTACAAAGCGGAAGGAGGATGAAAAAACAAAAGACAGAGGCAAAGAAAAGCCTGGAACAAAGGAAGGAGAGAAGGAGAGAGGACGAGAGAAAGCAAGGAAACGCCGCAGCGCATCCACTGGCAGCAGCAGCAGCAGGTTTGCCCTCTTAATGGGATCCTTTATCCCAGTGTTGAAAATAAAAATCTGTCCTCTTTCCTCATATATTTCTCTTTTTTATTGATTGTCACCAGATCTAGCTCTTCTTCGAGCAGCAGTTCTGGTTCCAGCTCAGGTTCTTCAAGCGGATCCAGCTCGTCTGGTTCCAGCCGCTCCGGCTCTTCTAGCTCCCGATCCTCTTCGTCTTCCAGCTCCTCGGGTTCTCCGAGCCCCAGCCGCAGACGCCACGATAACCGTCGCCGCTCCCGCTCTGTGTAAGTCTCTTCATCCAATGCAACTGCTTGGTAATTGTGCACAATGATGCGTTGTATGTTCTCTTGTTTGAGTCTTGGTTATTTAGTGTTTTGCTTGTGATTTTCCAGCTCTAAAACACAAAAGACCAGAGATGACAAGGAACGCCGGAAAAGAAGCCCAACACCTAAACCAACTAAAGTTTACTTGGGGCGACTCACCAGGAATGTCACCAAGGTTGGTTTTTATAGCAAAAGGGAGACCTGAGGACCACTCACACTGGAGGGGAAAACAGGCGATAACACACTATGCAGCTAAGGGTTGAAATTACATTAAATTAAATTAATTTAGCACCAAATTACAACTACAGTCGGCTCAAGTTACTTTATATTATAAGGCCTAACAATAATAGATAGAAAACCCCAATAATTAGACGACCTTCTGTATATTGATTTAAAGAGGGGGTATATTGATATCAGTATAAATATACTGATATATTGTGTTGGTGTTTGACATAAATGGAGACAGAGGAAACGTCCTTCAAGCATGTTATTACTGTTGGGATTAAATAGTTTGTCCACCAGAGGGCACACTGCAACTTTCCTATTTGCAACACATTAACCAGGCGATCTAGAGTCCATTAGTGTAAACAGGCGACAACTTGTAACAGTAAAACACATTTGTGACTGCACTTTTCTTAGTAAGGATTTTAAATCGCCAAATATCAGTACTGATCTGACAAATCATACATTGGTTGGGCTTTAAAGCTGTGGCAACATGTTGTCACTGATTTTTCTACATTCCTCTGTAATACCAGCTGCACACCAGTACAGTACTTTAGCTTAACTGACAGATAGTTGCCTAAAAGTGAAATTTGGGTGTTTTGGGGCATTGCTTATTAGTGACAAAATTCCTGATGTAAAAATCAGAACACTAAGTGTGAATGTTACAGCTGTCAGATTGTTCCTGGTAAAAGCATCTCATGTTTTACTGCCCATTTCGGCTTTTTTCTCTAATAAGGTTTAGTTCTTATTTTCCCTAGGCTTCTCTGGGTTTCTTCTTCACTGGCTTTTTTCCCCACCTGATATTTATACACAACTCTGCATTTAGTAATTCGTTTTTATTAAATAACTGCTCTCCTCCACAGCATGTTCTTGTACTGTCTTCCTCCCCTCACCCACAACTGGTTTTGGCAGATGTCTGTCTTTCCCTGAGCTTAGTTCTGCCATAGGTTTCTTCCTGTTTAAAGGGAGTTTTTCTTTCCCGCTGTCACCAAAGTGCTTGCTCATAGGTGGTAATCCTATTTCTCTATATTTTTACAAGGTCTTTACCTTGCAGTATAAAGCACCTTAAGGCAACTGTTGTAGTAATTTAGTGCTATGTAAATAAGAATAGAATAGAATTCTACTTTATTGTCATTGCACATGTCACAAGTACAAGGCAACAAAATGCAGTTTGCATCCATCCAGAAACTGCTTTAGCCATAATATAGATATATTACAAAAATGGAATTGAAAATAAAAACTTTCCCTACATAATGTAATTATTTTAATTTAAATTTTATATTTTTAGAACACAAAGGTTTTTATGTTAACAGCTATGTCTTTGTTTAACAGGAACATATCCAGGAAATCTTTTCTACTTATGGGACAATCAAAGGAGTCGACATGCCAATGGACAGACTCCACCCGCACCTGCACAGGGGCTGTGCTTATGTGGAGTTTGAGACCCCCGAGGAGGCCCAGAAGGCACTCAAACACATGGACGGAGGTATGTGGGTAGTTCTGTGGCTTCGTCATGGAAGATTAATCTAGACAGACTTGCGTTCGTGTTGGGTAACTCTTTGTTGACTCTTACGAATAGGTCAGATTGATGGACAGGAAATCACTGCTTGTGCTGTGCTGCCTCAGCGAGTCCGCCCTCCACCCCGTAGACCATCTCCACCCCGCAGAATGCCCCCGCCACCACCTATGTGGCGTCGCAGCCCACCGCGCATGAGGAGAAGGTACTATGAATGATTCGACCAGTTACTGTTTCCATTCGTGTTTGACATTTGTGTTTTTTATCAGCCCTACATGCCCTTCCACACTTACTTATTGATTTATGTTTTTGCAGGTCCCGCTCCCCAAGGAGGCGATCGCCAGCACGCCGCCGCTCTCGCTCCAGATCTCCCGGTCGCAGGCGTCACCGCTCTCGTTCCAGCTCCAACTCCTCTCGATAGACGGGTTTTCGTACTGTACGCGATCTCTCATGGTGCCGAATCGGCTTCGTTTCTTGATTCCTCAGTATTCATGTGGGCTCAACAGAATTCACTCATCTGCATTGTAGCCAACATGGACATTTCTTTAATAGTGCTCTTTGTGCAACATTTTTTTTCCATGTTTTGTATAAGTTTATTTT